AGTGGGGTGGATGGAGTGTGCAGAGCCCTGGCTGTGGGATAAACATCCTCCCAGTCCCTAGGAACAGACATCCACCCTCCCAGCCTGCTGCCTCTGGGGAGAGGGGCATAAACCTGGCACAGTTTTTGCCAGCAGAGCTCCCCCTCAGCTGTGCTGTTTCTTGTCATGGAATGATTTGGGGTGGAAGGGACCTTAAATCTCATCTCATTCCACCCCCTGCCATGTGTAGGGACACTTTCCACTATCCCAATTTGCTCCAGCTCCATCCAGCCTGGCCTTGAACATGTGCAGGGATGGGAAGTGTTCGGTGTTGATGGAATTACAAACATCCCCTGCACAGCCAGTACACCCTGGGAGGTTATTCTGTGTTGAGTTTTTTACTTTTCTTTCGTCTTTAAAGTTCTTACAAGAAAGAATGTGGGGTCAGGCTGTCCAGCCCCTGCCCGTTCAGTGCTTTATTCCACGTGGACAGACAGGGAAGGGGACACAGAGGGGAAGGGGAATCCAGAGCATCTCCCATGATGAGGCTGCTCCAGAATGGCTTGTGACAGCTGCACTGGTGATGTCACCCACGGGCTGTTCCTCATTAGGATCCCTGTGCCAGACACAGGGACATTCCCCAGCCCCTGCCTGGCTCCAGCAGACAAAATACACAACAATTGGTGGGAAATGTGGTCAGGGAGCCCCACGCTGGAATGTTCACCCAGGGTTTTGGGCTGGGTTCTTTCACAGGAGCACAGTGCTGGTGCAGATGATAAAGGTGTGTGGGTCAAGCTCAGCTCTGCTGGGCCAATTTATCAAACTGAGGTCAGGGGGCTCTTGTTGTGACATTTAGAGATAAGCATTTGGGAGGGAAATGAGATGGAGCAGCCTGTGAGGAGATCAGAGGGTGCTTGTGTAGCTTCAGACCTCAAGTAAATTACAAATACAGCATTGGTAGCCTGGCCATTGCTGTGTCCTTTGTACTGTACACAGGGTATTAGAGCTAGATAAATAATGTAGTTTAGTTGTCAGAAAGACACATTTGTTGCCCAGGATTGTAACACAGATTTATTCTTGGTTTATTTTCCGTGGAGTTATTTTTAATGAGAATGGAAAGGGAGTTAAAAATTATGTGGATTCAGATTTCATTGTTTAGCTACTTGATCAAAATATAAACTCATTGTTTTTACTCTTGTAAAGAGGAAATGCTATAGTAGCTTTCAGCCATCAGATTTGATTCAGATAATGATACAGCATCCTCATTCATGGGCTCTTCATCAGATACTGAGTTTGTCTCTGATAGAGCCCTTTTCAGAAAACTGCTCTACCCCTGATAAATCATCCAGAGAGGAAGAATGCATGTATTTAGATGGCATGGAAAAGTAGGCTAATAATGAGATTGTATTCCTATACTCAAATATTTCAGTGTGTTTGTGCTGATAAATTACAATTTGTTTTAATGTTCAGTTGCATGGCCCCTTTTCAGCTGTTCAGCTTGGCTGCAGTGTTTTGGTAGCTCTGTGAGGGCTGGAGCCTGGATGCTTTTCCTGTTTTGATCACAGCCCAGGCAGTAAAGGCCACCACACTTTAAACAGATAATAAATCACCCAGTGTCCTTGCTAACCAACATTGCAGATTCCCCTGGGTCTGAGCTGAACGTCCTTCTTCCTGTTCAATTTAGTGTAAAGAAGGTAAAATTCTGTTTGAAGTTCAGTGTAATATTTTGAGACAAAGTCTGATGAGAAATTTTTCCAAACTGCCAAAAATAAATCTCCCCAGCAGAGCTGTGACTCGAGGCATATGTATTCTTGACTTCTGTCTGTTTATTTTTATTTCCCTTTGGTTGTGAGCTGTCTCAAGTTTTGATGTTGTTTTGCTGAGGAAGGAATTATAAAAGTACCCTATAAACTCTTTCCTATAAACTCTTTCCAAGGGCAAGGCAGGAAAAGAGGGGAGAAAAGAAAAACTGGTGTGAAAAAGGTGTTTATGCCTTTTGCTGTGGTGTGTGCCATTTATCCACTCACCTGCATAGGGCTGAGTGTAAATCACTGCCTCACATTGCTGCAGTTCCCTTTCCTGGCCTGTTTGCTCTGCCAAGGGAATGGCAGGGGGATGCTCTGTCTCCATTGTTCAGCTGCAGCAAATTTCAGGTTATTGTGAGGATTTCAAGTTGTCAAAGCATTTACCCCATTCAGGTATGTGCTCTGATGTGTCCTGGGGTTGCCCCAAATGGATTGCAGTGGGATAAACCATTGCTTGCCAGTGGAGCTGAATCACCCTGAGCTGCCTTCTCCTCCATCAGGAAATATTTTAAAAGCAGTTTTACCTCAGCCCTCTATCAGGAAATACTTTAAAATCACTTTTACCCCCAGCACAAGCTGCTGTCTGAATCAAGCATCTTTTTCTATGATGAATTTTGCTTGGTAACGTTCTGATTAGTGTTTAGCATCCTGAATTTGCTAAATCAATTCACTTCAGAAGTTTTCTCCCTTTTTCTTTCTGTTTTTATGGCTTTGGGATGCTCCTTCTATTCCTCTCCACCCTGCTTCTCTCCCTCTCTGCTGCTACAAACAGCCAACAACAACATCCCTCATTATTCAAGATGAATATGAAGGTGAAGTCCTGACACAGTTTATATCCTGAAATAAAAAGTGCTGCAAATCCTGTCTTTGAGAAGTCAGGATGTGCCAGAGGAGGCAGTTAAATAGAGCAGGATCCTGGCTAGAGCTTGCCATGGCCACAGGAGCAAGGATGGCATTCTCCTGCCTCTGGATCTGAGATTACATCTCCTGTATTTCTGCCTTCACTTCTGACATCACTTTTCTGGCTGGTGCCAAACAAGTCAGTAAATTCAGAGGCAATATCAGGGACAAAAGCCCTAAACCCAGTGATTTTCAACCAGCTGAGATTTTTATTTCAAGAAAAGTTGTTTTGCTTGGATGATATAATTTTTCCTGATTTTATAAAGGGTGCCAGATCCAGGCTGTAAATCTAATTCTGTTTGTAATTTCACTGGGCACTGAAACTGCCTCTGCCAGATTTTGGCCTTGAATGTGGGCATTTATTTTGCCATCAGTGGTTATTGTTACTTTTTTCAATGTCAGCATCATCAGGTTACAAAGAAAACATGTTCCAAAACGTGCACAGCCCTCAGGTCTCCCTGGGAAGGCAGGGAGTGGGGAAAAGCTGCTCAACCTGCCAGTTTGCTTTGGTAGAAATGTAATTTGTGGATGTTTCTGATCCACAAGGACAGTGTCCAACCTTTCTGTGTCCCAAAACAGGCAGCAGGATTTATCAGGACACATTGGGGTGACTTGGCTTGGCCTAAGAACAGAAGCACAGTTTGGTTCAGTCCAAAGAGGCAGCTCAGAAAGCTGCAATATTATCCTTGACTTGATGGGGATTAAGCTGTATTTTAGTGCAATAACCATGTCACAAGTGAAATTTGACTGATCATTTGTCTTTGATAGCTTCATTTGCCTTGGGCCCCCTAAGCCATTTCCCAGGGAGTGGGAGAACTCCTGGTACTCCAACTCTCTGCATGACTTGTCATTTAAATGACAAAAATCACTTTTCTCAAAAGCCTACTTTTCCTTCAGGAAAATCAGATTAAACCCAAGGCTGAGAGTGTTTTGGTGAGTGGTTTAACATCCAATATGTTGCATGACTGTAGATGTGTAAGTAAATGTGTTGGAAAAGAGAATTTCCCAACTTTTTAAGGTCACCTTCCTTTCTGAAAACCTTGAGGCCTCAACAGACCCTTTTGTATATAGAAAAAAATGCTTCAAAGGTGTGTTTGTGACCCCTTGCATGAGGTTCAGGCAGCTCAGGGACTTTGGCCTGTGTGCAGGGAGGAAGATTTCATGGTGACTGTTCCAGTTGTGGGCAATATTACCAGAGCATTGTAGGAGCATTGGAGGGGTTGTCCACAGTGTGACCAAATCTCACCTGACCTTAAAAATGGTTCTTTAGCACTCATTTAACACAGTTCTGCTCAGCTGAGCCTTGGAAATCTCCAGCAATGGGAAATTCCCCCTTTCCTTGCACCAGCATCAGTGCTGCCCTCTCAAGTGATGCAGCTTCAGGTTATTGCTTTAATCCTCTTCCAGATTCATGTCCAGCTGGAAGTGCACCATGAAGTGGCTGCTTGTGCCTTGTCAGTGGCAAAAGCAGGAATCAGCATCTTGGCTGTGCATGACTAATAGTGGCCTCTGCAAAGTTACTGGATTTTATTCTTCAGGCACACACATAATAAGAATTATTGAATTTGTAAGTGAATTAGACCCAAACCAGCTTAGAGGTGAAGCCATAGAAAATTTTATGTACAATAAATTTACCTTTTTTGTCCTAAATTATCTCTGTTGCTAAGTAAAAACATGCTATAAACCTTTAGAGTGATTTTGTGGGCAGTATTTGAATGAATTTTGTAGCACTGAGTGTGTTGTAATTTGGAAGAAGAAATTTTGAGTTATACAGAAACCAGCAAATAATACTTGTCATCTTCAATGAGCTCCAGTTCTCTGATGACTAAAGCCAGAGCACTCTTGGGAAAATAATAAATAAACCAGAGATTTTTCAAAATGGCAACACTTGTAGTTGAAATGATGGTCCAGAATCATCTTCCTGTGAGCCTGGCTTCCATTTGTGGGAATTTCCTTGGCATAAGTTCAGAGGTGTAGCTGCTGTGGAGGTAGATAGAGACATTTACTGCTGATCTGATTAATGTTTCAGCTGAATTAGGGGACTGAAGGCATTCAGACCCCTAATTGTGAAGTGCTTAGCCAGCCCCACCACAGTCTGGATAATTATTACCATTTGCAGCACATGCAGGTGTGTGTCAAACTGGAAATTCACACCTGCTCAAAGTGAACTCCAGGTATAATTCTATTTTCATCAAATTTCCCACAAAACACAGAACTGAAGTAACACTTGAGAACTGAAAATAACATCAGGAAAAACATGATGCTGACTTGTCCTTTGCAGTGTTTCTGATGGAATATCCTGCTTGTGTCTTCCAGGACCTGCGCAAACAGGTAGCTCCATTGCTGAAGAGTTTCCAGGGAGAGGTAAGAGCTGCTTCTGCTTCTTAACATGTTTTCAGTGCTGCTTCACATGAGCCTGGTGTGGCCACAGAGCCCTCAGGGCTCAGCCCTTTGCATTCTGTGTGTGCAGGGAATGGCAGCACCTGAAGGGAGATGGAGAGGGAGGTTTTATAAGAGCACAAATTGACAGGACAAGGGGGAATGGATTCAAACTGGCAGAATAGGTTTAGATTGGATATTGGGAAGAAATTCCTTCCTGTGAGGGTGAGATTGGATATTGGGAAGAAATTCCTTCCTGTGAGGGTGGGGAGGCCCTCACACAGGTTTTCCAGACAAGCTGTGGCTGCCTCATCCCTGAGAGTGTTTAAAACCAGGTTGGATGGGGCTCTGAGCTATAGGGGGATAGAATATAAGAAAATAAATATAGTGTAGAAAGTAATCTTACCCCTAAGGAGTTGCAGCTGGGTCAATTAGCAAAGATTAGGAGCAGGCCTGACTTGAACAGGCCACAGCTGTGACCAATGAGAAGATGCTATAAAAGAGTGGGGTGGGTGGTTGGGAAGTGAACTGGGGTCATTTGGCTACTTTGTGAAGAAGAAGAGGCAGTGCTCTGAGGAGATGCCCACCAGAAACACCAAGAAGGTATGGAACTTTTGTGATAGGAGACAACAGTGTGGAACTGCTGCGATGGGATGACAACACTGAGCAACCTGGGATAGAGGAAAGTGTCCCTTCCCATGGCAGGGGTGTGGAACAAGATGATCCTTAAGGTCCCCTCCAACCCAGGTCATTCTGTGATTCAGGGTTTGTGCTGGATAATCTAAACTGGTGATTTTGCTCTGAGTCCCCTGATGAGCCTCTGTCACTGTGGCCCACCCAGATCACTGGGCCTCACTGACCCTACAGCTTGAGCTGTTAAAGAATGCAGTGCAGTGCCCTCATAAAACACCAAAATACTGCAAATTGTTCTCTCTGCAAAGCTTTTCAGCTGTAAAACATTGTATTGCTGAGGGAAAACCTTGGGTTGGCAGGGGTGTGAGAGGCTGCAAAGGCTCCAGCCCCACTGCTGGCTCCCACTTGGGTTTCTCCTCACAGCACACACCAGCAGAGAGCTCAGGAGTTTAAAAGCCAACTGTTGTTATTCTGAAGGGTTTCTACAGGCAAAGGCAGCTGGGCCAATTAGACTTTTCCATTTTTGCTGTGGCCAGATGGGAGCTGTGGTTGTGCTGCTCAGAAAGCATCAGGGAGGGAGGATGGAAATTAAATTTGTCCTTGTAAAGCTCCGTGCCTGCCTGGGGTGCTGGATGGAGGCTTGAGCTCACACTGATACACATTACACAGCTCTGCCCCTCAAGAATTGTGTTCCAGCACTTCCTCAGCCCATGAACTGTTCACTGACTTTAGACTGTGGCAGCTCCATCAGCACAGGGAAGTTCAGAGCATGTTTGCAGGGTAGGGATTTAGGTGCTCAACTCCCCTTAGTGAGGCTTGCAATCCTGATCACCTCTACATCCTGCTAAATCTGTGTCCCAACCAGGAATAATCCCTCATTTCAAAGCAGCATGGTACTTTTTGTTTTACAACCTGATTTCCCAAGTATTGCTAGAAATAAATAAATAAACTGGATAACTTTGTCCTTGATACATCCAACAGACATTTGTGAGAACAAAGAATGACTTGTGTGAGTCCGTTTGCCAATGGAAATTTACACTTTAAAATTGCTCTGAGTGCATTGCAGTGCTCTCAGAACCTTTTCACTTCAGCTTCAAGCTTGCAATGCACTGACTGAAAAGTGCATGTGTGCTTTCAGCACTGTTCTTTAATGAAGGGAATGTCTGAGGATCAAGTAAAAAGCATAAATTTAAATTTGGCTACAGTGAGGGAGATTCTTCCATTAGATCTTCCCTGGTGGAGACAGCTCCCTGTTACCTTGGCATGGCTCACACACACTCCTCTCCTGTAGTTTTGCTTCTCTGATATAAAAGTGAAGTTTATTTTGGTATAAATTCAACCTCACCAGAGTAAAATTTGTTGTTGTAATCCCCTGTTACGTAAATGAAGCACAAATACATGAAAAGATTGTGCTGCTGAATCTCTGAGCTGGTGATTCCAGTCCCCCTAATCGAGACAGGGTTTCAGAAACCTAAAAAACCTGAACTAATCATGATTGACTACATAAATGCACCACATTAAACTGTGAATTATGGTATTTGATTATAGATGTAATTACTGTATCTTGTTTTGGAGACAAATCAAAATACCAAGGAGATGAGCCTGTTCTGTTGAGTTATATTTGATTGTTCAGGATATAGATCTGGTTTCTGGTTGTTGTTAAGGCTGACTGTCTGAAACATCAGGAGGTAACTGCTCTGGGTATCTCAAAAACAAGTTTTGTTGAGCAAATAGGCTTCTCTCCATTTCAAATCCACAGGAGATGCCCCAATTCCTGTCCCTTGAGAGGCTCAGAGAGCAACACTGCTGAGAACAGCCACTGACCTCAGCAGCCCCCTGGGATTGCCTGGCAATGATTTATTACCTGGCAATAATTTTATTACCTGGCAGGTGATATTTAATGTCCTGGGAGGAGCTGGCAGAGGGACCTTTTGGTCACACAGTACCTGTGGGATGGGATGTGAGCAGGGAGGAGGAACAGGGCAAGAGGTTCCCCTATTTGACTCCAGACCTGTCAGTTTTCAGCTCCACATTTGTCCCTGGAAGTGTCCAAGGCCAGGCTGGATGGGATTGTCAGTAACCTGCTCTAGTGGAAGGTGCACATGGGAGCTGGAACAGGATGGGCTTTAAGGTCCCTTCCAGCCCAAATCTTTCAGTGATTTTTTTTTTTTTTTTTTTTTTTTTTTTTAAAGATCAACACCAGTGAATAAATAAAACAGAGCAGAGGTCAGTGAAGTGGTGGGAGTAAATGTTTTTTAGGGTCCTTTCTGCTGGAGAACCAATGTCCTGGACCTGGAGTAGGGAGTGCTGTAGGAGCAGCCTTCACAGGCATGGGGGGTGGGAATGTGGAGCTTTGGGGCACCACCAGCTGCTCCCTCAGGACTGAGGATAAAGGTTCTTGCCTGATGCAAATTCTCCATTTCCCTGTGGGAGAGTCTCCCTCTGACTCCTCTCTCCACCCCCACCGCTGCTGCTGCCTCATCCTTTGCCCAAACTCTGCTTTTAGACACAATTAGGTGTTTTTGGCATGGAATAACAAACTGGACTCCACATCAGAAGGGAAATGGGCTTTTGCCAATCCCATGTGGGCTGAACTGTCCATGGGCTCTGGGCTCCAGAGAGGGCCAGCAGGTCAGGGGATGGAGGCAGCTCAGATAAGCCCAGGTGTTTAAGCAGCTTTACATGGGCATTGTTGTGTTCCTGCTCCCCACCCCTGCCTTTCCTCAGCACTTTTTCTGCTGTGAGCCCACATTCAGCACAAAGGTGGGGTTTTCCCCCTCTTTTTGCTGGCTTAGTTTCCCACCAGGTGGGTTCAGAGCAGCAGCTCAGTGCAGGGGAGAGGCCAGGAGAGCAAAGGCAGGGGCAGGAGCAGCACAAATGTGTCAGCTCAGGTTGACTTAAACTGTCCTTGAACTGTGCCTGGGTGAGCCTGACGTGACTTGGAGAGAGGGGAAGTTAAGCTCAGGTATTTATGTCCCCTCCCAAACACGATTTATGGGAGCTGCTGGTAAACCTGGGGCCAGTTGGCTTTTTTAAACAAACCCACGGGTCATTTTAGTCAATTTTTCTCTTCAGTTTGAGCCTGGAATGTTGATACTTCCCCCCCAGTATTTTCCCTTTATATCATATGAATTTATAAATACCGGACAAAGCAGAACATTCTGTATTCCTTGGTTATTTATCTCATCCATTCAGATAACAACTGTTCCAGTTATCAAATATTCAGTTTCCATTAGTACTTGGAAATAACTTTTTTGTATAGATCTCAGTGCGTTAAGTAACTGGATTTTTTATGATAAGAGTTAAAGTAGAAGCACTATGAAGTGGAATTTAGCATACTACAAATTTTCAAATGCATTCCTAGTTCAGCATGAGCCCCTATTAATTCATCACTGGAGAATAGTTTTATTATAGTACTTTTTCCTTATTTAGGATCTTAATGGAAATTTGAAGGCAGTTTTCTAATTTAACAGAATGTTGTGTCTGCTTCAGAGCTGATGGTACTGTTCTTTTGAAATCTGTGGGTAACTTCTCTGCCTTCCCTGGAAGATTTAAGGTCTGGGTGATGTAAATATGCTATTGTGAGCAAGACAGTTAAAAGTCATTAATTTCAGAAGTGTAAAATTCCTGTCATTTTGATCTTAAATCTCTGTCTAGCTTTTCCTTTTCCTTGCCATTAACTTGAGGATGCAACTTATTAATGGTTCCGTCTCCCTGTGCTGGGCTAAATACAGGACAGAATCAGGAAAGGTTAAAGAGCTTCACCATGCAATCATGACATGATTATTATATATAATTAGCAAGGCATCCCTGCCATCAGCTGTCTGAATAAGCTGTGTTTTGGGTAGGTCACTGTGCTTTACCATGGGTACATCAGTGGATGGATATTTGTACATGAAATCTGAAAAAAAAATTAAAAAAGAAAGGATGTTCTTGGGCTATGTTAATTTACAGAACTGAAGTTATGGTATGGAAGTCTAATGTTGGAATCTGTATTTGTGAAGTCATCAGACAGATATTTTAAGGCTGGGAAAGGATTTCCTGAGGTCATTAGCATTCTTTTCATGTGGCATAAGAGCACTGTCCAACAGTAATGCAGTAATCCCTCATTTGGAGAACCCTCTAAGGCACAGACTCCAAAACAACGTGCTGGACTTGATGTCTGTGAAAGCCATTTCTCATATTCTTCTCCCAGAGCAAGTACTTTTAAGGGTATTGCCATTCTGATGAGACCACTCTGGCTCCCCACTCAGCTGAATTGCTCTTTAAACTATTAATTTGGTCAGTCAGTAATTTAATAATTTTCCATATGCAGACAACAGAAGCTGAAAATCAGTTTGATGTGCTGGAAC